TGGACCCTTCTTGCACCCCATTACTGTCCCCAGGAACCCAATATCTCCCCCCAAAACTGCCCCCAGGAGCCCAGTAGACACTGCCCCCCCGGTCACTAATAACACCCTCAACTCACCCATGACCCCAATAATACCCCCCGAGCACCAAGACCCTCTCCTCCAGACCCCAATACCTCCCTCAAGACACCCCCAGGACCCCAATAAACCTCCTAAACCTCTCCAGAACTTCCCCCTTCCCGCCCCACCCCGACTCCATTACACTCCCTCTAGGACCCAAATACCCCTCCCCCAGGACCCCGATAACCCCCACAACTCCCACAGAACCCCAACAGCAAGCTTAGTGCTTCAGCAGCAACAGTCTGGGACTACTTCGAATAGGAATGGTGTCTGCATTCACATTCCTGAGCAGCTTGTTAGGCTACCAACACCAACACTCTGTAGAATTATGTCCCTTCAGTAAATTGATGAGATTCAAAGATAAAAGAAAAAAACAAAACCACAAAAAAATAAAAAAAAAAAAACCTTCAACCACCGTTTGTTTAAAACCATCCATCTGAAACCTGTCTTCAGCAACCCTGGAGGAAAAAACAACAAAACTAAGCAAATATGGCATTACTTATATATTTATTGTCATTTTGCCTTAAACCAAAGCATTTACTACTGAATTACAATCTTACCAAACTCAACAGATGAGTACATCTCACCAATTTTGTCTGTGTGCAGCCCCTTTGAATACAACAGTAGAAATGTACATTCAGAGTTCTCCAAATTTAAAACATTCTCAAACCCCTCTAGAGCAGAACAAAACCCCTGAAAAATTCTAAAGAGACTTCTAAGATTTCATTTACTGCTCCTAGCAATAAGTACATTGCTGATGCCAGCAGATTTATTCCTTGTCTGTCACAGCTTAATTGCTTGAATCCAGCATAAGGAAAGGAAAACTCATGTTTTAAAAGACCTTCCAGAACACCCTCCTTGAACCTAGTTGTCTGACAGGCCCTCACAAATACAACAAACCTTCAAATCGGTGGGCAAGCTGTGATGATCAGTGTATTGAAAACAGTTTCTTCAATTAATTTAAAGAAAATTACTTCCTAACTTTCAAGGTTGCCAGTTTCTTCCCATACTCCATCAGAGACATTTTAAATTAAGTACTTTTGTTCTAGACTGAACTCATGTTATTGTGCATGTGGAGAAAATCATTCCTTGCTAAAGTTTTAGATTATGGAAAATATTTTCCAAAGTGATAGACTTCTGAAAAATAAAGGCTTTCAAGCAACTGTCTCAAAACAGTAACAGCAAGCTGCTAATGGAATTTCAGTTAGAATTTGTGTCTGAATGTTTAGTTTGCATTATGTAAAGCACTAGAATTGTGAAGTGCTTGCTTGTATGAAAGGCTTGCTTTAGTTGCCAAAATTACTGAAAGGCAATATCTATCCTCAACATAACAGCAGAGCTAGGAACGCATAAAGCAAGCACCACATATGAGAGGAATACCTAGGAGCAGAATAAGTGGTTGAAAAAGAGGGTTACAGTTGGATCAGACTGATCACACTGTTCTCTGCCCAGATTTTTTTTTCCTTTTTCAAAGAGAACTGAAAGATCCCAAACACACTGAAACTCCTTCTGTTCTTAAGACATGGAAGTAATTGGGATTTATTTGCCAATAGGAGGGCAAAATTAGTTTTCAACAACTACCAGTCATTAACTAGCCTTATATAAAAATAATGTGCTTTTGAGCCTTATAGGCTGTTTTGAAATAAATAATAATAATTTTAAAAGTATTAAGTTAGTGGAATAATTTTCAACTTTTTTTTTTTTTTTTCAACTGTGCTTTTCCAGGAAGCAGCACATCTTCACCGTAGTAATACAAAATCCTTTGGGAAACATATTGGCCACGTGGCCAAACAAAACTAGCTCTCGAGCAAGTTTGAATACATAGTTTTGTCAGGCTCAGTCTTGTTTTCCTACTAAAAACTAGAATTACATACAGCGCTTCACAGGAGATTGTCTAACCAATTCTGTTTGTCTAACCAGATTTGTGATCTATACTGCAAATTTACCACAAAGGAACAACAAAATAGATTCTCATGATTAGAAACAAATCATCTTTACCCGTGGGCTAGCTCCAGCTCTTTCACAGCATTAAGCATCTCCTTTAGACTGCTTTTTATATCTTTCAGGACACAAGTAGCTAGTCTTTGTAGCACTAAAGCCCTATTATACATAAGGACTGTATCCCCTGGTGCTACATGCCTGGCCTATAAATAAAAAGCAAGTTGTGAAGATGTGCTGCAGTGTGATACAGGGGTATACTGAAGTGCCATACAGAGAGTAAGCACCGTTATTTCAATCCAGGACTACTGCATTTAGAGACACAAACATGCATCAACTCACAGTAATTTCACTCTGTGATAGATGATGTTTTATATTCGTACCTTTAACAAAGTTTGTTTGCATTCCTGTAATTTCCCACATTTGAAGAGCACCCAGGCCAAATATAGAAATACTTCAGCATTTTGATACTTACAGAACTTTCTGAGGCAGTGTTCATACTAAAATGGAAAAAAAAAAAAAAAAAAAAAAAAAAAAAAAAAAA